GTTTAATGTTCATTTCTTTGAAATATTTTACCCCACTTTTCACTTTAAAAAGAACCCAAGGCACTTTGCCTAATTAAAAGACAATATTTAAAGCTTAAAAAAAACCAAGTATATAAATACTAAAAAGAATAAAACAAATGCCACTCTAAGAAGTTATAAATGAAAGCAATACTAAAAACACATTCAGAGCGGTAAGGCACAACAATCTATTTAAAAACCCCACTTAGGCAGCCTGTTGAGTAAAGCTTGCCAAAAGAGAAAGGTCATCAGTTGCTTGTGAAAGGGAAGCAAAGATGGAGCCAGCCTGGCCTCTTGTGGGAGGGAGTACCAGAGTCTGGGAGCAGCAAAAGAGAATGCCTTCTCCCTTGTCCCCACCAAATGCACCTGTTAAGATGGTGGGATGAAAGAAAGGCCTATCCTGATCTTAACACTTGAGCAGGCTCATAAACGGAGATGCAGTCCTTGAGATAGGTAAAGGGTTCCGTTCTCCAAAGGCAACCTCTCTGCTACTGCCCTGCTTGTCCCTTTTAAAAAGCAGGGAGGGAGATACACATAGGAGGATTGGGCTTTCCAAAAGCTGGTTCCCCATACTTCCTTTGAAAATTAAACCATTCCATGGTGCTGAGGAACTGTTTTGATTTGCCTATATTTATGAGAGATGGCAAGAATAAACATTGACATCCTGGGTGTCAGTGAACTAAAATGGATGGGAATAGGGCGATTTCAATTCAGACGATTACCATATCTACTATTGTGGACAAGAATCCTGTAGAAGAAATGGAGTAGCCTTCATAGTCAACAAAAGAGTGGGGAAAGCTGTAATGGGATATAATCTCAAAAATGATAGAATGTCAATACGAATCCAAGGCAGACCTTTCAACATCACAGTAATCCAAGTTTATGCACCAACCACTGATGCTGAAGAGGCTGAAATTGACCAATTCTATGAAGACATACATCACTTTCTAGAACTGACACCAAAGAAAAATGTTCTTCTCATTATAGGGGATTGGAATGCTAAAGTAGGGAGTTGAGAGATAAAAGGAACAACAGGGAAGTTTGGCCTTGGAGTTCAAAACAAAATGGCAAAGGCTGGTAGGGTTTTATCAAGGGAACAAGCTGGTCATCACAGACCCGGAGCTGATTGTCTCTCTGATCATCAGCTTCTTATAGCAAAACTCAAGCTTAAACTGAAGAAAGTAGGAAAAACCACTGGACTAGTCAGGTATAAGCTAAACCAAATCCCTTCTGAATACACAGTGGAAGTGAAGAACAGATTTAAGGAACTAGATTTGGTGGACAGAGTGCCTGAAGAACTTTGGACAGAGGCTCGTGACATTGTACGGGAGGCAGTACCAAAAACCATCCCAAAGAAAGGGAAATGCAAGAAAGCAAAATGGCTGTCCAACAAGGCCTTACAAATAGCAGA